ATCCATCGCCCGCTCCAAAAGTGAGGTTAAGCTGGAGATTGAAAAATAACACATAAGGCGGCTGAATTCTTGAAAAATAAGTATATTTTTGGCGTTTTTCGACCCCTTTCGACAAGGAAGGGCCCGCCGCATGTATTTATGCGGTGAAAAATTCGATTTTTTGCAGTTATACGCGATCCTACGGATTTTAATGAAGTCCAACAACTGATAACAGCAGTGAGTTGCGAGGATCCTACGCGAGAATGCAGCACTAGTACCTGCTCACGAATTTTTACATTGACTCTTACGGGAGTCCAGGGTCCTATAGAACTGGTCCCTGCTCCAGCTCAAGAGCTCCAGGTCCCTGTTCTTCTTCTTCGTCACGAAATCTGCGAGAGTGTCCTTTCTATAGGCGTAGCCAGGCGTAGCCTTATTATTCTATGACAGAGCAATACCATCTAATCAGATGGTATTGGACAGAGCTAACTGAACTGACTGAAACCATGTCCGGTGCGGTGACTGTAGCGCTTTACATATTATTATTCTCAACTTACTTTAAGTATTAAACTCAGGGCTTGTAAAATTCCTCTTTAAGTCACTGCACTACTGTGTAAACATTTATTCTTACCTGCATGTTAATCATGGATTTTCAAGTGGCACTGCAACAGTTGGAGGCAGCCGCCAATGTTATGTTGGTAAGTTTTGAGGTTACCGTGACGAACTTATGCCTCTTTGCCTCGAACCCAAATAAACCGGATTTTTGATACTATTTTTAACCTCCCCACGAAAGCTATCAAAGCCATTCTTTCACGAGGACATGCCTCTACTCCCAATTTCCTTATTTGTACTTACCTACTAGAGCAGCAGATGTGGAGATGTGACGCTACCTACAGTATACGCTCACAATCATATGTTTTTCCTACGTATTAGAAAGCAGCAAGTCCCATGAGTTATGATCATTGCCACACTTAACTTCATGGAGATTTCTCACCATAAGCGTATCATTATATACTGGCCCTCAGTCTCTTACCCACTTGTTTGTACTGAACACATTATACTAAAATACGCAAGGATGTGATTGAACTGAAGTTGTGAATTTTCCTCTAAGGAAAATTTGCTTTTAGGACCATGCAAAGCAAACTCTGATCGCTTTGGGGCATGTCAATTACGGTCTGTGTAATTTTAATTGTTTTAAAATATCCGGAGAAGCTTACTTTTCAGCACTCTTATGTGTTTCTGACTCGGTTATCATTTGTCTGTTCCAGGCTCCGCCTAACTTGGTTACCAACGAACAAAGGCATGCGGCAGAGGCAGTCTTTTTAAATCTGAAGAAAAGCAAATCTCCATATGCCTTGTGCAGACACTTATTTGGTAAGACTCAAATTAGTGTTTCACAATTAAATTTTTGAAAATATATTGAATTCATATGCTAAGAAAAAGTTTTATCTCAAACTAAGGCGGTTTAAAAGTTGAAAATGTTTGATGATGCTAGCTAACTATGATATAAACAAATGGAATATCTTCTTGCATCAAGTTGAACTCTTGTTTTTGTCTACTAGGATAATGCATGTAAATGAATAGAATGAATCGTTACCTTGTTCATGATCAAATGAAAGTGATTAAAATTATATAATGGCCATTCAATAGCTTCATCATCCTCAGATCTTTGATGTAAGTAAAGTTGGCAAACTAGTGTTCTGTAATCAAGGTGATTTTATCGATTTAAAAATGATGGCTGCAGTCATTGAAAAAGTCGTTTTCAGTTATGATTAGAGGTGTCGTCAGATACGTTGGCATTTGTTTACTTTCAGTTTGCAGGCGCTTTTGCGTCACTACACACACAAGGAAACATCTGATTCCCAGAAGGGAGAACACAAGCTTGGATAGGTGTTTTAATATCTCCAAACCTTAGCCACACCGAAATCACAACCACATTACAGTCGCGGATTTTAATTGATAAGTAGTTGTTTTACTGTACGCTCACTAGACGGAGGTTTTCAGTATAGTCAGTGGCAAACAACAATCTCTGCAGAAGCCTAAGTTTGTCGTCTGTGCTTGCACACAGAAAAGAAACAAATGCCAACTTATCTCACGACACCTCTATTTGGGTTGAATAGGAACAAATCATTTTTGTGTGCATCAGGTGTTTGATCAAACTTAATCCTTGTAAAAAATGTGTGCTTACTTTGAAGCCCACTCAGTTGATAAGCAAGGCAGACAAAGAATGGTGGTCGCATTTTGACTTTGACAGCTATCTTGAAGTGTTGTGATGTCAGGAGGGTACGGGTTTTGCCATGCAAGTTGAGGTTGACCTGGCTCCCCCGGCCTCGGCTGGCCCATGTACCTGATATACCCGGTACCATGTGACATCCAAAGGGCTTGAAATGTGACCACCTTTCTTTATCTGCCTTGATTGATGAGAATGTACTGTACACCCTAAAGTAACTCCCATTTCTTGAAGAAATTGTGTTCTAGAAAAAGCAACCATCCGAATGTGTGTTTTTTTAATAGGATGCTCTCTGTGAAGCCTTCTCTCCAAGGGTGTCTTTTCCTAGGAGGCTGCAGCGCTATTAAATAGAATCCCCTGGAAACAGCAAACTTTTACAGAGAACAAGAAAAAAATTTACAAGGCTGTAGTGATAAGTATTTTAATGTTTGGATGTGAAGTTAGGCAGCCCAAGAAATGGACACAGAAAATGCTGAGAGTAGCAAAAGTGAATTTCTAGAGCATATCAGCAAGAATTTCTCGAAGGGAATGAGTCCATAAAAATAGAGCTTGTCAAATCATGGAAGTTGAAAATGATGTTTCGCTTGACATGATCAAATAGTGAGTCTAGTCTAAGCATGTTCACCGCAAGTATGCTGCCAAGAAAGACGCTTAGTTGGGCTCCTCCTGGGAAGAAATGAAGGGGATACTCAATGAAAGGGTAGTGACAGGGGGATTTAAATTAAATGGGGTAGTGCCAACTACCTGCAGGGCTGTGGACGTATAGATTACTGTGGCAGTTAAGTGTCGCAAAGCGACAGAGCGCAGAAAAAGCGGCGAGTATGTATGCATGCATGCTTTCTGAGTTTTATATCACTCAAGTTTTCTTCCTCCCAAATTTCAACTAATATTTCCTCTGTGACTATTTTTTATTTTATTATTTTGATTTTGATTGCAGAATCTAGCTCTGTTGATTATGTTTTGTTTGAAGCTGCTGGAGCAGTAAAAGAAGCGTTAATTCGTGAGTGGAATCTTCTGCCAGAAAGTGACATTGCTTCTCTACGGCAGTACTTACTGCATTATATTATGAATAAAACCAATCTTGCATTATTTGTCAGAGAGAGAATGCTCCAAGTAATTGTTATAATGATCAAGAGAGCAAGCATTTCGAATCAGTCAAATGATAGATCTGAACTTTTGCGCCAAGTCGAACAACTTATTCTCAGTGGTGATACTCATAAGCAAGTTCTAGGTTGTTGTATAATCACAACAATCATTCAAGAGTACAGCACAACCATCAAATCATCTGATGTTGGCTTCACTTGGGAAATGCATATCACAGCAAAGAAAGAGTTTGAGAGCTCAGACTTGCCAAAAATATTTCAATTTTGTCTTCGAGCCCTGAATGAACTGACTAGCGTCAAGTCACCATTCCCTGCACAAGTAAATACAGTGGCAAAACATCTACTTTCAATATCAGAATCTGTGTTACAATGGAATTTCACAGATTCTGGAAACAGCTTTCTGAAAATGTTTGTTTTGAAGCAAGAAGTATATCCATTGTTGATCACTCCACAATGGAGAGATATTCTAATGAACAGTGAAGTGCTTGAGCTATTCTTCACTTTACATATGAAAATTAGAGATAATCCTTCACTTGCGCATCATTCTCTAAGCTGCCTGGTTCAGTTAGCAGGCCTCGTTTACAGAGATCGTGACTTCAGGAATGATGAAAGTTCTCGTTTAAACATTGACGGCCTTAACTATTTAAAGTTTTACATTGAATCATTCGTTAAATTCACCGCCTCCGTTCAAATTTTGGATCGTGAAGCACTAGGTGTTGCAAATATCATAAAAAAAATTGTTAACAATAGTTTCGGAAGAAGAGTACCCAAACAAAAGTTAATGAGCTCACTTCAGAATAGCTTACTTGCGTTCAACGAGCAGATACTTGTTCTCACATGTCGCTTTTGTGAAGGTGCAGCAGATGAAGAATCAATGTATGCTGATGATTGTATGTTCCAAGAAGCCTTTGAACTTATATTGGAAGTATGGGTTGACATCCTTGAACATTTTCAGCACTTTTGCAGCCCTCAAGCCCCACATCAAATATTCAACACTTTTTTGAAGTGTCATCTAGGCCCACCAGATGGAATCAGAGGTGTGCGAGCTGTTATCCAAGAGATTGATGATATTGATGAAATTGATCGCATAAAGTTCAAAGAACAGCTTCAAGCTGTCGGCCGCTGTGGAAGGGAAATTCTAGAACACTCGTTACCCTTACTTTCCAGACTGATCGAAGAGCGCACCATGAAACTTCAGAACCAATTACAACAAATGGCTGTGCAGAGAATCAATATTTCTGATGCTACAATGGTGGATAATCTCTTTGAGGATATCCATTGGCTCCTTCTACTTGCTGGTCACACCATAGCTATGGAAAGTTCTGGTGAAACTCCTCTAATTCCAACCTCTTTGATGCAGTACAGTCGTTCAAAAGCAAATGAAACAAACATGGACATGACATTAAAACTACTAATGTCACCTGAAATCCCTATCTCTGAAGTTCCTGGAGCTGAACACTCTACAGACCCTATAATTAGACTGGTTGCAGCTGTATTCCGTCTCACATTTGTTGAGCAAACGGCAATTGAAGCTAAACTTACATCTATGCTAAGTCCTCAAGTGGGGTCGAGCCTTGTGTGGTTTATCCGTCATTGGGCTTTATCATATCTTCTTGCTAATGAATCGGTCTATTTAGAGGTAATTTTTCTATTCACCATCATTCTCATTTTGTTTTTCAGGAATCTGTGCTCTAAGATCAGAAAATAGCATTTTTTACTCCAGTAACTTTAATTTTTTTTTTTTTTTTTACAGATAGTGTTTGGTAAAAAATTAAGTCGTCAATGCTTCTGAGCCTTCAGCACGGAGCCCCTGAATCAACTTTTAATCGAGTTTTAATGTACATAAAAATTCAAGTTGGAGATTGTAGTGGGGTACTTCCTGATGGGTTTTTGGGCAATTTCGAAATAGGTCATTGGAGCTCCTGGAAAGATAATCGCATTTTTGTGGTTTTGTACGGGTAAAATAGTAAAATTGTCCTAGGGGCAACAAATTAAACTCTTCCTCCTTCATTCTTGCCTTAACCGAACTGAATTTTTATTAAATTGTTATCTAGTATAAGATGCAACAATCCTGAAATTTTCATGCCCGGCAAGTTTTTTTTGCCCCCCCCCCCAAGGCAGTGTTGCCAAGTTACAAACTCCTGAATATTCAATTCGATGATAAAATGAAGGTCTCGAGGTGGCATTTTCATTCAAAGTAAAAAATTCAAATCTTAAATTGCAGTCGAGTACTCCTTGATGGGTTTTTGGTCAATGTCGAAATAGTTTGTGGGACTTTTTCGAAAAATAATAGCGTTTTTGTGGTTTTTAGAGGTAAAATAGCAAACTGGGCTCAGGGGCGACCAAGTAATTCTCCCGCCCTATCCTTGTCTTTACGAATCTGAATTTATAGTATGTTATTACCTAGCATGAGATGCAACTTTCCTGAAATGGTCACGTCCAAGCAAGTTTCACTGTCCCTGTCTTACTGGCAGTGTTGCTAAGTTGTGGACTCCAAAATATCGAATTTCATGAAAAAATGAATGTTTTGTGGTGGAATTTCCTCCAAATTATTACGAGAACTGTGCAATCTGAAATTTTCTGATTAGAAATGGCTTATTTCAATAATTTCAAAGTGCAATGTTGCCAGATTTAAAAATCGTCAAAATGACCCAAATCGCGTTCCAACTTCAAGTGCTGGGTTTTTATTTTGGTCAGAATCGGTTATTAATATTCTTCTCTACTCTATACATTAAAGTAATAATACAAATAATGCCATTACTTCCTTGATGGGTGCAGCTGACTCAACAGAAGAGGCAGGATGAAGCGAAGAGTTGGGGAAAAACGAACGGTTCGGGTTAACAAAAGGTTCTTAAATTTAATCCATCAACAGATGGTAGAATTTGAAAACTTTCTCCCACCCTCCAAACCTTGTTTCTGTTACAAGAGGATTTTATTTTGTCGCCCCTAAGCCAATTTTGCTATTTTACCCTTATAAAACCACAAAAATGCGATTATCTCTCTAGGAGCTCCGATGACCTATTTCAAAATTGCCCAAAAACCCATCAGGAAGTACCCCACTACAACCTCCAACTTGAATTTTTGATGTAGGTACATTCAACGTTGACTAAAAGTTGATTCAGGGGCACTGTGCAGATGAATGCCTGATACTGCATAACCATCGGCATGTTTCAAATTTTTCTTTGAATGAATTTTTTGGAACTTTTGATTTGTAGATCAATCATGAAGGATCATTTTTCCAAAAGCAGCCTTTTGAAAATGCATTTAAATCGGTTGAAATTTTGATAATCGTTGTTGAGCAAACAGTAATCAAAGCTTAACTTTAAGATTTGAAACGTTGATTATTGTGTGAGCCCTCCATAATGATTGATGTGGAGGCTAACATTTCTGTTTTTTTCATGAAAATACTCTGCTGTTCGAAATAAAAACACTATCTCTGCTCAATAGGTGCCTTCTTAATCATTTTCTAATAAAATACCATTAACTAAAAGAACCAACTAATTTCCTTCTTTAACTTTCAAAATAACTGTCATTCCTACTGTTCAGAACTCAAAAAGAAAAAAATGAAGCATAGTGTCCATCAGATTTTCATGTGACAGAACATTAAGTGCCGAGGAAAAATGCAATATTCGGAGTGGAGTCACAGTATTTTTGCTTTAAATGTCAGTATTGGTAATGGACAAAATCCAGAATGTATAGAAACGGTAGAAGTTCTTATGTCAACAGGTTTTTATCAGCAGGTATGAAGAGCTTTTATGAACATTGATGATCTTTTTGATTTCCATGAATTGGCTAAAATCGTGTGATTTGTCATAAAACTATATTCTAGGTCATGTTCTTTTAATGGACCATTAGACAAGGTACGAATTTAAGCACTCTGATACATGTTTTTTAACCAGAATTTCACGTAAAACACGATTCGCGCAACGAAAATTACTGAAACCAACTTCTAACGAAGATATCAACGTTTTTATTTCACATTGGTCACAAGGAATTTGAACTGCCCGCTCTCAAGAAACTCAAAGCTCTACGTGAGTCAAATCGCGCACTACAACGGTTTCAGCAAGCTTCTCAATCGAGCAATGTTCATTTCCCATCATGTGTTGTTCAAACTATTAGCAATTTGCTATAGCTGAGCCAAAGCGTCAAGTTTGAAGTTGCCAAATTTTTATATCGCAGAGACTGTCATGATAACGTTTAGCACGCGATGTGAATCACGTTGAGCATTGAGTTTTCTTGAGCAGGTGGTTTGAATTCACGCATCAAGAATCATTAAATATCTGCGTGAGGAGTTGATTTCGGTAATTTTCGTTGTGCGCATCGTTTTCTAAGTGAAATTTTGGTTTAGAAACATGCATCATAATACTGAAATTCGTACCTTGTCTAGTGGTCCATTCTTTGTTGCAATGTTTAGTCGCTGATAAAATCCACACTTTTGCTACATGGCCAGGTTTTTGGCCCCCAGTTCGTTAACTAACCCCTGTTCAATAAGAGTTCTCTTTTTCTTACACAGAAGATTCAATCTCTCACAAATTGAAGTATACCTACCTAATTGCACTCATTAGTTTCGGTTTAATTTCAGCTGAGTATGCCGTTAATGATGGCCTTTAGTCAACAATCAGAACATGCACGCTGGGTTGTCAATTTCATTCTCCACAAAATTGAAATAAATCTCCTAAATTACAGTGGAGAGCCTATGTTAATTGAAGAAACAGTCGATCTTCTCATCTCTCTAGTCAACTACCGTGAGAAGTATGAAGTACATTTACTTTTCTATCAATTGAATTTGAATATTTTTTTTATCTTCATTCACATCATCTGTAAGTAAGCAGTATGCTTAGTTTTGAGGATTTTCTTTGATTTTTGGTGTTCGGATTTAAAGAACTGCATAAGAGAAAACCGAAAATGACTTTGGTTTTTATCACCACCTACCATTTATTTGGTAAATTAAAGTTTTGTCAGAGAGCAATTTTTTGGCTTGGAGCTCTCCTCGTTCTTTTTAAAAACTCGATTTACCAAAGGTGTTGAGAAAAAACCAAAGTTAGGTTTGGTTTCAGCAGCAAAAGTTAGGGCAGCAAGCTCCAAAAGACACCCATGAAAATAAAATTCTTATGTAGTCATGGCGATTCTTGGACTGAGAATTAATTCGCCAGGATTGATCCGAATCAGCTAAGGAGAATGGATCTTCCAGAAGATCGATTCAACGTTCTGATCTTTACCGCCAATTTGAAATTTCAAAATTAGCCATTAATATATGCTTAAAGTCATGTGATGATTCTGAATCGATTCAAGATCGTCAAGTGCCGATCTTTTAGTGCATCAGGGATCGAGTTGGTAAACAAACGAATAATGGATGCATATAAATTGCTTGTCTGATGACAGTTGATTACTGAATAGTTATTAGTGTGTGGAGATTTTTGTTTTGAAATATATAATATTTTACTTTACGGAGGTTCTGCCGATTTTTCTGTTTCATAATCCTATCTAATCATGATATGATGATCCGATCCTCCAGATTCCCGCCGATTCCACACATCTACAAGATTCAACATGTGACAAAAGATTGTTCCCTTGCCGATCTGATCTTTTTTATAGGTAAAAAGAGCTGAAAAGAATCTGAGAAGATCGGGTCTTGTAGGAAGGAAAATGAGCAGGATTATGTGCCGTAAGCTCTAAGGTTTTATGTTTTTTTAGAATCTTCCTCACTTTCAATCAAGTAGTCACCTAAGCTCTGGGAGATACGCTAAAGTTGGGATAATTATAAACCAATTTTTAGGATCCGATTCCAGGTTAAAAGAATCTATCCTTGGGAAAGATTGGTGTGAAAGAATCGATTCATTCTTATGGATCTTTGAGTCCCAGATGATTGATCCAAGAATCGCCATCTCTATTCTAATCCTTCCAGACACAGAACAATCATACAAGTTCTAAAAATAGAGGATATGGGCGGATTGTAGAATTTGACTCGGAAAAACTTTGTCATCAGAAACAGCAGGGATTGTTGCCAGGCATACTGTTGATGTATTCCTCTGTACAATTATTCTTAGCTTCTGGAATTATAGATTTCAAATGGTCATCGTTTCGAATAATCATGGTACAAGTTTTGATGCAACCTACAAGCTGAAACAAAATGGATACACATATTTTTTAAAACTGTGATCCGTTCATTCTTGGAAATTATCCATAGGTTTTTTTTTTTTTTAAAAAAAAAGAAATTTGCTCTCATTTCAGGGGGACCTATGTGTTGAAGTGTGAGGGCTTATGGAAAATTATTGAAATAGCTGAAAAAACAAGTCAAGATCTTTTGCCGAGCAAAGCGAAACGAGGCCTCTACAAGGCATTCACCCTCGGTGGCTATGCTATAGATGACAAATCCAAAAGAGAAGAATACTGGGTTCAGGTAGTAAACATTTTCTCATTTTTAGTTTCTAAGCTTCCAATTTCAACAAAATTAATTCATTCCAGCACTCAGTCCTTTAATTTGTTAGTTACATATGTCCCCCACACAATTCTGCTCTTGATAATAGTAACTGAAAGGATACTTGCTACATTAAACTAGGAGAGATTAATTTTTTGTCACCAGCAAACCTAGACTTAAAACTGAGTGGTTTGAGAAACTCCCATTATAATTATACTGCATGAACTGTTGCAGTAACTGGCAAACTTTCAGTTTTACTTCTGCCGAGGTAGACAAGGAGTATAAGTTCACGAAAAGCTTCCCAAGTGCATGTTGAAGAAGCTGGTGTCAACAATTTCTTGATCTCTTCATTTTGATGTCTAGACAAAAAAGCCAATGTTGTTCGGCTCTTTGCATCAAACACTCTAAATTCAAGATTGCGGTCAAAATGTCGACAATAAGGTCAGAACTCAGGTAGACACTCAGGGCTTTCACTACCGGGAAAGCAGGGAAAACCCAGGGAATAGAGTTTTGAGAAAAAACCCAGGGAATTTGACGTCGACTTCTGGAATTTTTCGCTTTTTCAAAATCCACAGGCTTTGTCAATTCGCTCATAATAAATTCACTTTAAATACTACTTAAAAAAAAAATAATTACAGCTCTTTGTTTTACACTCACTCCTTTCATTAGGACGCTCCGTTTGGGCTGTGCGATATGGAGTTCCCTGCTTCTCGCACCTCTCCCGTGCCGGCGCCGCCGGCCGATTTAATCTGAAATGTAGTTGCTGAAACAGAATTGACAGATGCGGGGAGAGGGAGGGAGGGAGTACGGCATTCGGACTGGCCGAGCGCATAAGCACCTATCTTCACGTGAGTGACGTGAGGTCTGTTCGAGAACGCCGTACAACGAGAGGAGAGGGGACTCGGAATTCTTTCGCCATGCTGCGGCATGATAGAAAATAGTCCGGATTCAATTGCTAATAGCTCGGTTTCTACGCGCAAAACTGAGCTAATTTTTCGGCTTCCCCTTACTTATGAACTTTATATCAATCTATTAAAGTTTCATCGATTTTCATCGAGAGCCACTGACCCCATGCTCTGTGCGGGGTTCTTTGAAATACCCTTGTGCAGTCAATTTTTTAAAGTTCTTTGTGCCAAAGATTATTCCCTCTGAGCTATGGTAGAGTTATATAACTTTTTTCTTTTTTTCACTTTAAGTCCCATTTTGACTGACTCAATCACAGTTTCTTGACAGTTGTTGAGACGTCTAAAACTTACTATTTATCAGATTACGTGAAGTAGTCAAAAATTATCATGTAATATCTGTGAAGCATTGTTTTTGAAAGTGTATTTATTTACGTGTTAATACAATCCAACATATTTTAGAATACAGGGTTATCCAAAAGTCACTGACCACCCCTGTAGCTTTTTTCCAAATTGAGATAGAAGTTTGAAACTTTGGGAATGTTCCTCGGTCTAAAGTAGCAACTTTTTGGTCCCCCCAAAATTTTGGGGGGCGGCCCCCCTTAAGGGGGGCAGGGGCTAACTTTTTTTTTTCAAATGGCAACCCCCCCTTTGTGATACCTCATTCGAAAGATAATAAAAAAAGAAAATTTTTGGCGCAAACAGCAGGTCAAAATGTTCATTTTTGACAAAATGGCGGCCGGTCAAAGTTCAAAATGGCGGATATTTGGCATCTCCGTTGTTTATTGACGGATTGGTGTAAAACTCGGAATCCTAGGGTTTTTCGAGATGAGAAAAACGATTCTGGCATTGGTTTTCCAGAAAAGTCAGTCCTTTTTAAAATGGCGGCGGTCAAAATGGCGGCCTCAAGCGGGAAGTGGATATTTAGGCTGCATATCGTTGGATTTGCATGTAACTTGGTATCTGGGGGTATTTCGGCACTAGAAGAACGAATCTTCCATTGGATATCTAAAATTTTGACAAATTCCAAAATGGCGGCGGAAAAATGGCGGGAAATCAGTTTTACGGCTCTTCACAGATGGATTTGCATGAAATTCGATATCCTGGCGGTTTTTGGTTGGTTAAAAAGGAATCTTTCATTAGATTCTTGAAATATCAAATAATTTCATGCTAATCCATCGGTAAAGAGCCGTAAAACTGATTTCCCGCCATTTTGGAATTTGTCAAAATTTTAGATATCCTATGGAAGATTCGTTCTTCTAGTGCCGAAATACCCCCAGATACCAAGTTACATGTAAATCCAACGATATGCAGCCTAAATATCCACTTCCCGCTCGAGGCCGCCATTTTGACCGCCGCCATTTTAAAAAGGACTGACTTTTCTGGAAAACCAATGCCAGAATCGTTTTTCTCATCTCGAAAAACCCTAGGATTCCGAGTTTTACACCAATCCGTCAATAAACAACGGAGATGCCAAATATCCGCCATTTTGAACTTTGACCGGCCGCCATTTTGTCAAAAATGAACATTTTGACCTGCTGTTTGCGCCAAAAATTTTCTTTTTTTATTATCTTTCGAATGAGGTATCACAAAGGGGGGGTTGCCATTTGAAAAAAAAAAGTTAGCCCCTGCCCCCCTTAAGGGGGGCCGCCCCCCAAAATTTTGGGGGGACCAAAAAGTTGCTACTTTAGACCGAGGAACATTCCCAAAGTTTCAAACTTCTATCTCAATTTGGAAAAAAGCTACAGGGGTGGTCAGTGACTTTTGTATAACCCTGTATATGATTCTTAGTAGTGGTCCATTTAAGCCCAAAAATTCCAAGATGGCATCCATAGGTTGTCATATGTTTTCCCAACGATCAATCATTTTGTTATGATCAACATTTCAGGTATATACACAAGTATACAAATTTCAATTTCAATTTTAATATGTGTATGTATTTCAGGCAACCTGTGATTTTTTTTAGTTTTCAGAGCTTAGTGTGCCATTGAATGTCAAGCTTCTGGAAACAAAACTTTTAGGGTTTTAGTCCCTTTAGAGCACTTTTAAAATGCAGAAAGAAAATTGAAATACCTTGATTAGTTTTCGCGAGGGGCCTAAGTGGGGGAGTTTCAACATTGTCTGTGCGGTAACTCAAGTAAAAATGAATATTTTAAGCTGAAATTTTGATAGTAGGCAGAAGTCCATTAAGACTGATTTCCGTCTTCAGCAAAATTGGCTGACTAGTTTTGTAATGGCGGCTTTTTTTAATTTTTTATTGTTGGGGGATGTAAACTTAATTGGAAATAGATATTTTCAGCTAAACTGAAAAATGCACCTGTATCTCAATGATAAGATACTTAATTTGTATACTTGATAACTTAATATCTTTCATTTTCAGGTGTTGAAACCTTTACAAGATCGATTCAAGAATCTAATATGTCAGGACAATTTTAATAGGAACTTCCATGAGGAAAAAAATAAAGTTGAAATGATTGACATCCTCGAAAGATTCATAGGTACAGTAAAATATTCTTTACAGTTAATTTGGTCGCTCATTTGAGGACATATATGTAATCATAGGGGTCGCTGACATCCGCCATTTTTAGGGCAAACGCCTTTTGCGAATTCTGGAGCCTTAAAGAATGTCTGTGCAAAGTTTCAGACTTCCAGCGTAATTTTTCTGCGAGATATGAACTGAAAACCATGTTATTTGTAAAAACAGCGGATATGAGAATCCACTGTTCTCACTGTTCTCGGCCGGCGCGGCAGGACATCGTGGAGATTCCAATGCACCTGTGATAACTGCCCGCGCACGGGCCACGGGCTGCAACTGGCACTCAAATGATACGTATTGGGACCGTTTTGCCAGAAATTAATTTTATAATTTGTTCCTTATTTTTGATGTTGAAGTTACAGACGGTTTAGTTTTTTGTTCAATTCGATTAAATGACTCAGCATTGACATACATTCACATACTTTTGGTTCATTTCAGTCGTTTCACCAGCCTTACCCATACTGAAGACATTGTTTCATGCATAAAAAAGTGTTTTCAGTAAAAATAGTGGATGTCACATTTTTTTCAAATCGCTGTTACTCCTTCAATTTTTCACTTACATGGATCGTAAAACGCGTGTTTTTTACAGGAAGAGTTGCTCTTCATGAAAATATTAACAATAATCTTCTCAATTCTACGGCCCGCAAAGTGCAAAGCTTCGAAAACTTCAAATGCGATTTTCTCACAATGTGAAATCTCGACATCCGCTATTGTTACATGCAGGGCTATACATAAATTATCTCACATTTCAGACACCCCTCCACCCTTCCTAGTATGGTGGGTACGATCAAACTGGACGATTTTTTTATTGGATTTTGCCACTTCGGGGGGTTATACTAGATGAAAAAATAGTCGTTTTTTCCGTAGAACCACTTTCAAATTCGTGCAGGATCCAAGATGGCGACCGTTAAAGATGAAGGCCAAGCGTTTTTTTGAAGTGCTACATCTCTGTTGCTCATTGGCCGATTTTGATTTCCTTTTCTAAGTGAGAGTTAAAGGGGTCCAGAATATGATTAAATTATAAAAGTTTCAACTTGACGGACAATTATTCCTAAATTTTAAAAAGAACTTTGTTGAAAATTCCTGAAAGAGCTTGATGCAGTTTTTCCGTTTTTTTTCGTACCGTTACTTGAGAGGCCCACTGAGCGGCCGGTCGGCCGCGTCTTACACCGGTAAAACGCGCTGTATCTCTCGAACCATTCGTTCGATTTTAAAACTTTTGGTCTCGTTAAGAAGCTACAAATGAAACAATTTCAAACAAGGTGCATTTTTACATTTACCTCCAAATAATTTGCCATATTATGAAAATACATGAATTTTTGAGGTTTTGATCGTCTTCACAGCCGTTGATTTTTTGTTTCTGGGCGCAATTAGAGCCGTAGCTGAGTAGATTTCTTAATTCAATTCATTCCGTCTGAAGAGGGTACGAAAGGATTTTTCAAAATTTACAATGTTCATGGAAATTGTGCGATGAATGATAAAAAATCACGCATATTCCAGTATAGTAGCGCATAAATGCCGGCCGACGCGACGTTGCACGGCGCATAAGTGGCGAACCTCTACTCGAACGCGCGACCTAAATCGTCCCCAGACATTTTCTATTGGTCGCAGAAAAAAGGTTATGGTATCGTTTTGAAGGTCAGAGAATCCTCCATCCATCTCAAGAACAATAAAGGCTCTAACTGCGCCCAGAAACAAAAAATCAACGGCTGTGAAGACGATCAAAACCTCAAAAATTCATGTATTTTCATAATATGGCAAATTATTTGGAGGTAAATGTAAAAATGCACCTTGTTTGAAATTGTTTCATTTGTAGCTTCTTAACGAGACCAAAAGTTTTAAAATCGAACGAATGGTTCGAGAGATACAGCGCGTTTTACCGGTGTAAGACGCGGCCGACCGGCCGCTCAGTGGGCCTCTCAAGTAACGGTACGAAAAAAAACGGAAAAACTGCATCAAGCTCTTTCAGGAATTTTCAACAAAGTTCTTTTTAAAATTTTGGAATAATTGTGTCCGTCAAGTTGAAACTTTTATAATTTAATCATATTCTGGACCCCTTTAACTCTCACTTAGAAAAGGAAATCAAAATCGGCCAATGAGCAACAGAGATGTAGCACTTCAAAAAAACGCTTGGCCTTCATCTTTAACGGTCGCCATCTTGGATCCTGCACGAATTTGAAAGTGGTTCTACGGAAAAAACGACTATTTTTTCATCTAGTATAACCCCCCGAAGTGGCAAAATCCAATAAAAAAATCGTCCAGTTTGATCGTACCCACCGTACTATTTGATCTGAACCTCCCGAATAAGTTATGTCATGTTTGTTCAGGTTTCGTCCAATGTAGTCTTTCAAATTGACTGAAATGTTCCCACAAGTAATTTGCTGTTTCCTTTGATTTTTATGTGAAGTCGTGTTGTGCTGAAAGAGAAATATCCTTGTATCAAATAAGACCTCGGTTTTCCAAAATGTCTCTCAGAATGCAAAAGACATATTGAAAATGTGTCTACAAAGGAAAAATTAATAATGCATTTATGACCTACAATTCAAAAATCCTTTTCATGTATAAACGACCATCCTTAAGAATCACTGCACTGATTTCAGTGTACTCCACAATCAAATGTTTTTTTCAAAGTGCTTATCTCCTTATGACAAAATTATGAACTCTACATTCTGAAGTGAGAGTGAAAGTTTGATAAAACCTGACCGAGGCATTTTGTCAAATAGATAAGTTTCGTTGGGCTTCTTTCACAAGTAGGTATTTTGAATTGGCCGATTCTAACCTGAATCATAGGAGCTTACATCTTGCCTATCAATCAATTAAGTTCGGCAATTTTCATTACCTAGGCTTTTTGCTCATAATTTTGATGAAGATACACATCCTGTGACACTTCAGTTTTCATGTTGCCCTGTGCCTCATTTGTAGCCTCAGCTAACTTCAAATCTCTTGCAAACTAATATATATTTTTTGATTGTTTTGGAACAGGTGTAGCTCAGGGTATTGAAATCTCTACCGTAGAGCCTCTTTTCAATTTCTTGTCACCAATTTTATCGGAATACGCCACATTAATCGGAATTTATCACAATTATCAGCAAATTGTAGAGCTCATCCTGGAATTATTTTGTGAAACTGCATCCTCCTCCCTTTGTTTTCTTGTTCCCGTAAGTCTTCAATGTAATTTTCCTTTCTCTTGATATTTTATTCAACTCTAATCAATAATTAACTTAACAATTCTGCAATTTTTGTTTGGTTCTCAAAATTAATTACAGGGAATCTTCCTACGAGTAGATTGCAATACATAGTGAATTTGCATGCAGCAAGGATATCTAAATTATTCTGTGGTCTGTACTGGAATTTTTGCAAAAATGAATGATGGTGGCTTCAAGAAAGTCTGTCGGAAAAGAAGTGCTCGGAAAAATGTCTTCTCCTCTGATTGGTTCTGCTGACTGTGATGTCTACTTGTAACTGACCGAAGTCTATGTAGTGGTCAGCTGTAAGATAGCTATTGTGGATGTTGGTTCTTATTGTTGAATGAACCTACCAGTGGTAGAGAGTCTCCTCAAAAAGGGGCTTATTTTAGTCCCTTTTTAGACAGATTGACTATCAGACTTAGGTGTAAATGGAAGGGTATGTTAACAGAAAACTCAGGAAAAAATTTCAAGATGAGTATAGAAACCGTTTTCGAGTTACGAAGGGGGGGGGGGCAAAGGGGTTAAAATCTGGCCTAATTTTTTGCTGTGTTCCTGTTGAATTGATGTGTCTACGGGGTTCTTATTGTTGTTTGCACATGTTAAACACATCGATTCCTACGTATTTTTACATGAAGAATCGATTTTTAATGTTGAAAAATCGGTTTATTGATTGGTTATGTCGATTTTTAGCAATTTTTCAGGATTGAAATTTTTCAATTTCGATCTATGAATGAATAAGTCCTCCTAACATGACTGGAACTTACCGATTACTACTTACTTGCACTCGTGAATTCGATTTTTAACGTTGGCAAGTCAATGTATTGATTGGCAAAATTGATTTTCAGCAATTTTCTATGGAAAATCCATGATGTTTCAGGATTGAAATCAGTTATTCTCCCACCGAGATCAAAGAAACGCACTTGACATAATCAAAGCTCATTATTCATACACGTAGAATCGATTTTCAATGTTGATGAGTTGATATATTGATTGGTTTAATCGATTTTCAGCAATTTTTAAGGAAAATTGGTGATTTTTTGGGATTGAACTTGGAGAAATCTTCTAGACATGACTGGAGCACGTCGATTCCTTCGTGATTATTCTCGTAAAATCAATTTTTGAGTTAGAAGAGTTGATATATGTATTGGTCATTTTGATCTCTTACAATTGTTATGAAATCATCCCAAAAAAGAATGCAGAACTTGCTGAAATTGACAAATGTGCACAGGAATACCAAAAAAACTTTTTTTTTAAAAAAAAAAAAAATTTAATAATAACATTTGGAAAACAAACAAAAAATTACATTGTTGAGAACTAAAACTTTGAAAAACCCTAAAAAACCAACAATTAAAAACCCTTCCAAAAAAATTTGAAAAAACCTCCTTCGTCTAATAGTATCCTGACGTTGTGAAGGAGCTCAAGCATTATTTTGACTTATTTAATGAGACAAAGATTATGGAAATAAATCTAATTGACAGTTTTCCCTCTCTTCATACCTGATCCCATCTCTTGTTGTTGTCAAATTCAAAATACCATCGATTTTCCTCACAAAATCGCCAAAAATTGGTATGTCTGATGGATGTATCGATTTGTTAACGTTAACAATCTATTCTACGCGGTTTTCATTTTTTGGTTTTCCAAATGTTATCTTTAAATATGTTTCTTTTTGGTATTCCTGTGCACACTTGTCCATTTCGGCAAGTTCTGCATTCTTTTTGTGGATGATTCTAAAATACATGGGGATCAATGTGCTGTGATCATGTCAGGTTTTCTGATCTCGAATGAAGTAGCTGATTTCAATCAGGAAAATCATCAATTTTCGGTAAAAATAGCTAAAAATTTATTTAACCGATTAATATGTCGACTCGTTAACCTTAAAAATTGATTCTTCGGGTAAAAATACGTCGGAATCAATGTGCTTAATAGGTTTAAACAATGATAAGAACTCTGGTACATTAATTCAACAGGAAAACAGCCAAAAACTAGGCCTGATTTTGACCCCTCCGCCCTCCATAACTCGAAAACAGTTCCTTTACTCCTCTCGAAATTTTTTCCCAAGTTTTCTGTTAACATAAGCTACCATTGGAAGGTTAGTCCAACAGCTGAATCAACTGCCTAAAGTAGGGCTAATTTCTGGGAGGCTCTTCATGGTCTGTGAGTGAAAATGGAACCTAAAACTGTATAGAATGGCTTTGTGAAGGTGGACCATCGTAATTCCTCGTATCATATTTATTGTAAAAAGTAAAATTGTAAAATTAAATCAGTCCATGTTAAAACCTTATAAGTTCATATTTATGAGCCCTAAGGACCATATGAATGCCCACATTCTAAGCTTTATCATATATTTGACATGTTTGGTTTTAGCATCCATTGATTCAATTGCGAGGGCCTATTTGGATTTAACATGTATTTTTTTGTAATTGAAGTGTCCTAAAATGTTTTCTATACTTCTAAAATCCCAATCTTGCAACTTTTTCTACTTTCTGACTTCAGTCAATACTCATTTTCTAACTAACACAAAATGTGTAGTTTTGCCACCAACTCATCTTTATAATAAGAAAAAAAATGGTCAACAGAGGTTTTTGTACACTCAGCTGATCTACTGATAGTATCTCTCCCTTTAATTTTTTGTCCTCCAACTTCAATAAAAGCGATTAATTTGAATGATATTGGGTTCTTCAGATTCCAAAAGTGTGTGACAAAGTCAGGTTAGGAGGTTTCTATTTATTATTTGAATGTTATTACGATTAGATTTCCGGTACTGCGTGAAGAAGTCAAACATACATATAAACAATCTGCTCAAATTGATTAAGTGAAAATTTTGCCTTTTATAGGCTGATTTGTTTATTTGTTGTTCAAACTTTGCAACCGCAACTAAATTTCTTTGCACTTTTCATCCTTTTTGCGAAATTTAATGCCTTGTGTGCTTTCAATAACAGGGAAAAGAGAGGCAAATAGGATTGAATTATTGTCTCCGCCTGATTGAAAGTTATACTTCTCATCTAGCAGTATGTAAAATCACTCAATTCTTGTGTTCTCTAAATGTTTGAGAAAGCTCCATTTTTTTCACTTCAATAACCCTTGATAATTACTGTGGTTACTAATTCATAATTGGACAATGTTAAAACATACAGATCAATTTGCAAGAAGAGTCTGAGAAAAAAGACACCTGCTTAGCAGTGCACCACCATCACCTACCGTAGTCTTGCGTAGCATTTAACTCTGCTGTTTGTAAAAAGTTATTGAATTTGGTATGAATGCAATGTTTTGGTTTTGTTTTTCCTTCATAAATTTTTTTTGAGTTGAGGATCAAATTTTGATCAAGTATTCATCAGTTTTCAACTAAAATAGCATCAGTCCCAGGCTTAACTTTTTGCCTAGTCAAAAGTTGATGATGGATGTCAAACTATCTTTTGATGCCATTGTCGATTAGCATGGCAGCAGAGCTATTTGATTCAGTAGCTAATTGAATTCAATCAACAAGTCAACTTTAGCAATAAGAAGAGGTATTTGATTCGGGCATGGCCTGTTGACGTATGAATGTGAAAAATATGATGATAGTATAACTGGGTGAATTTAAATAAGGGTCCAATTCCAGGTTCTATTTCCTCCCAAAATTTTTTTGTGAATTTTTGGGCAAACCAAACTTTATTTTGACTATCATTAGGTGTAGAATTAAGAAATATAGCTCATCGAGCTTAATAGTTGGGCCCAAACCCGAATTCCACCGTCAAGTGTATCACCTCCCAAAATTTGCTCTAATTTTGCCTGATTTCCCAAATTTTCATCCCAGAGGTGACATATAATACTTTTAATTGAAAATTGAACACAATTTTCATTTAAACATCGTCGAGCACTAAATTAAAGCATAACTGTAAACATGTAACCCTTTCATATCTTGCAGAATTAAAAAAATTGAGGAAAAATTCATCTGTCATGAAAGATATCTGAAGCTTATTCTGCTTGTCTTTTAGAAAGTTCCGTCTGCTTATCGAAATACACACTGTCCTCCCTCAACTCGAGAAGAAGCTTTTATTTCTTGGAATATTGCAACACAAAGTGGATCAGAAACACCGAATTTTAAAACTTCGCTCGGGTGTGTGCCCGCTGAAGTGGAGATAAAGCCAGGAAAAGTTTCAGGGATTGCATTAACATATCAACTACACCGGACAACGTTTTTTTTGGATTTTCCGAAGATTTGCCAACGATTTCGGAAAAAATTTTTTGCGCTGATTCTGAAGACCACCTCCATTTACCTGTATCAGTGCGATTTATCCCGGGAAAGTTCGGAATTTTTCCGGAGAAATTGGAATTTTCCTTAAAAATCTAGCTTTTCCAGAAGAGTCAATTTTCCGGGAGAATGTGTGCACGATGGAAAAAACCCAGGAATTTTTCGATTTTGTAGCCTAAGATACACAAGGAACCATGTATTGCACCCTTATTAAAGTTTCCTTTCTTTTTCTAATACCAAGGTTTTCCGGTCCAGTTTCATTTAAATCAATTAATTAGTCACCGAGATAGTGTTTCAAGCCACGGCCGCCATCTTAGATTTTCGAATCTTGAAAATTTGACTACAATTTTCAGTTTCCCGTCAAAAAATATCCATGGGTATCAAGTTTCACTTTAATCGACTGATTAGGTGCTGAGATAGCATTTTAGGCCACGTCCGCCTTCTGGGATTTTTGAATTTTGAATATTCGACTAAAAATTCGAGTTCTCCATTGAAAAATACCTCCAGGTACCAAGTTTTACGTTAATTGATTGATTAGATGCTGAGATAGCATTCTAGGCCACGTCCGCCATCTTGGATTTTCGAATTTTGAAAATTCGACTGAAAATTCGAGTTCTCCATTTAAAAATACCTCCGGGTACCAAGTTTCACTTAAATTGGTAGAAAAGAACGCCTACCGGGCTTAAACAAGCAAGTCTCAGTTGTAACAGTTTTCCACTCTGTCCCACTAAACTGGGACACTGGGACAGGATGGATACATATGGGACCGAAAGGAACGGGACAGGATGGATTTAAGCTGTTTTTTAAGCTTATCTCTGACAGTACAGACAATTTTGGGGGTTTTTCACGGAATATTTAGTAGCACATCCTAGAGTATCGGAATAAGAAAAAATTTTCCCCAACGCACACGTCGAAAGTATTTTACGAGCTGATATTAGTGTGTGTGTGTATGTTTGACGCCCTGTTAGTTAGCGTGTATAGCATTTGGTTTGGCATCATTATTGGCGTTAATCTTGCACAAAAATTTGCGAATTTCAGTATTTTTGCCATCTGCGCCGTGTGAACTATTCAATCGAAACAAAAAAAGTCGTTTTTGTAAAAACCTCATCGTTACAGCAATCATTTAGAGCTTATTACATTGTTGCCATGTCTCTCCTGACTGTTGCTCAGGACAATCATTCTAGCGCGTGAAAAAGTCATTGATGGAGCTAAAAAGAAATTGACATATTTTTGTTCTCAAATTCAAAAGCATTACTATCATCTCCGATAAAGTTTTCTCAAGTAATCACTCTAGTTATGCTGCAACATCGATTTAAAGTCAAGAACCAGGCACGGGAGACAAGCAAATTTGGGACAAATGTAGGCAATTTGCACATTCAAAGTTCTCCTAAATTTTTATTTCAGTCCAAATAAAGTGGAAAGTAGTATTTAACTAGGGGGCTACGCCCCCTGGCCGCTACGCGGCCCAACCCCCTGAAGGCGCTCCGCGCCATCAATGCGCCGCTTCGCGGCCCTATTTTTACCCTCCAATCAGTGTTAGGTTTATTTTTCCCCCTAAAAAATTACGATATGAGGTATACTTTAATTTTAAACTTTACTTAAAATTACTTTAAAATTAAAAGGACGCGTTTTCGAATGACTGATTGATGAAATATTGCAGTAAGACAATGAACAATGATAATCAGGTAATAATTAAAATATTACGAATTGGGGATCGAACCCGTATCGAATACAATATGCACACAGTCGACGTCTTAGACCGCTCGGCCACCGCTCGACGTGAGATTCTTCGGCGCGAATCTGGTGTAGATAAGTGTAGAGCTGATGCGCAGGCTACACAGCTACTGCGCAACCTCCTCGACCACTGCGCACCCTCCCGCGCATAGCGGTAGCAGTACCGGAGCATTCTGTAAACTCACTCACTTTTATAACGTGATTTTAAAAAAACGTGGGTCCTTTTTCCAAAATCTGATTACAGCGGGCTCATCTAGGGCCTATTACCTGTCGATTTACGCAAGAATCATGGAAATCGGCCCGGTAGAACGCTCAAACGAACTATGACAAAAAGTATAAATTTACATTGTTTAAATGGGAGAATTTGCAACTTTACCACGTAATATAAAAAAACCTGGGCCATATTTTGAAAATCTGAAAAGAGTTGGCTTATCTACAGACAATTGCTCGTCGATAGCCGCAAAAATCATGAAAATCGGCCCGGTAGAACGCTGGAACTAAGCGTCACCAGTTTCGCAAAATTAGGAGGTCTTGGAGCTTATAGTATAGATGGTCAACAATAGCGTGGAAAATTAGAAAACAATTTGATCTGCCAATGTTTCTCAGATTATGACGATTAAAACAGCTGGGGATACCAGATTAGATGCTTATTTGAATTCACCCAGCTACTTAACCAAGGGATATAGAATATAGAAAGTATTCAGCTTCTGCTTCATACCTTAAATGGCTAAACTGTTTCAAACGTCAGCTTTTTATATCGAGTGGACATGAAGTTTTTGTTTGATTGCTACCACAATGAAGAGACACTGTATGTAAATGAAAGTCCTACGATTTGGAACCTAGATTGTTGTTTGTTCAACTTCTTATGGAGAGCTTGGGAAAGAAAGTTTCCTTGAACTCAAAGGCAGGGTGTCTATAGCAACTGGAAAAACAGGGAAATGTCAGGGAATTTTTTTTTTTTCAAGAACTGCTAGATACCCTGAAACAAGTCAAATGATAAGTGTTGTGCTGAGACATCTAATCTCGTTTTCATAAGCACGACTTTAATGTTTCCCCTGTTTAATGATGTGTGAATCTTCCAAGCTGCTGAATGTCAGCATGCCCCCTCCGAATTTTTATCATTAATAGAAATCAGTTCTAGACTAGACTTTCCTTGCAACTCTTCTGTTGGTAGGTTTGTCTAACCGACCTTTGACTAATGTGTGGCTTTTTTTCTAGAAAAAAAAGGGGGGGAATGTTTTGCCGTATTTATTTTGAGAACTAATTCTGCTAAATCTTTTGGGTATTGTTTGTATTGTACTTTCTGGGTGTCTGCAAGCTGTATAATTTGATTATAGCTGTATATTTGTAGTCATACCAACAGAGCATAATTTCATAAGCTTGCACACAATTTCAAGTGATACAAGACAATGATATGTCAATGCAACTCCATCAAACCTTTCCATTCCAGATATAACTCTACTATATTCCTTTCTTGTATGTAAGATTAATTTCCATGGGTTCGAGGATAGAGAATAATCAATGAGTTGATACAATCATGAAAAATTACAGCAATACTGCAAAGTAGTTTCTAATTGTTATGAAAATGAGCTGATTCTCTTGGAAAAAATTTTAAAAATGGAAAGCAGAGAGGTATTAAATAACCTTTTTATATTGCGCAGCAATGCTGTCTTAAAAAATTGTGGTACAATGCCATACAAAATTGCTGTATTTTCAGTGTTTGACTTTAGTTGACACCATGATTTTACTTTAATTCTTCTCATATATTGTGGTATCGATTTTTGCTTTCATATCTCATCAGCTTTGAAGTAACCAAATTCAAACTTAATTTGCCTCTTCGCCAGTTTGACTTATTTCTCATTTTTTTCTATGGCTCCTAAATTTTAAGCAGAGATTGCTCCTCCTGTTCATCCAAATGTCATTTTTAACTTACTGGTGATCAAAGTTCTTTTTCAAATCATATTAGTTCTTGATCTATATCATCAACAATATTGTTAACTTGTGTGTTTGAACTCAATCCTGGTCTGTTTTTCAGTCAATCCTGGTGTTTTTGCCTGTAGGAAATTTGAATAGGCTGATTTGTGTCCTAGAAGTTGTTTTCTATGTGTTCCAACCTGTTGATCATGTTTTTAAGAAAATTTAATAAGAAAACCTCTCTTAAAGTGCTAGAGTTTTTTTTTTATTGTATCAAGTGATCTACTGACAAGTACCCGTAGACAGAGGCAATTACTTAGAATCTACCATTCAGTGATCTTGCCATTATTTTATTATCTATGAGAGGAAGCTTTTTGAACCTTTCACAATGACTGAAGTGGTATTCGCTGTTTTAGTGTTAGCAGACTTTTTGGTTAATCTGCATTTTAGTAGCAATTTCGCCGAACTCCTTTTAGATGTTTGATTTTAATATCATGCGTTAGATACAATTTCATTTGTTCATTAAAATTTCTGTTTCAATATTTTCCAGGAGCAAAGCAACAAATTGTATGATTCCTGTTGTCAAGTCATTCAAACCTATGCTCAGATGAACACAGGTCGAGTCACGACTGATTGTGCTGCGCAAGAAGAATCGTTCAATGATATTGGATTGTTCCTAGATCTCCTTTTTAACTTGTTAAGCAAAGATGAAATAGATTTAAGTGCATCAAGTAAGTTCTGGTTTCATATCGTTTGAGGATTTGGGTGCCATCAACATGCAAGCCCCTGACCACTAGGGTGGCCGTTAGAAATAGCTTTTTCGAATTTTTAATGGGAGAACCCTGCAAAAGTTTCCTTTTAGTGTGTAAAGAAAGACCATAAAAAGAAAATTGAAGATAAAAAAAAATTTTAACCGTGCCGCACGGCTGTTGTATGTGGTACGCTTGCAAGTTCGATTTCCGCAAATCGCGCTTTTTGGCGTTTCGAAGCGTCTCTGAAAGCATGATGGAATTCATCTAGACATTTGAAAGTATGGTATTTAACTCAACTTTTTGCGTACTTTCACGTGGTGTTAACATAAATTTTTTGGAATTTTTCAACGTACGATTTTTTGCTCTCAAAGTGGGGCGAAAAGACAATGTGCGAAAATTGAAATTCGCACATCGCGGTATATCACGTTTTGGCGCAATACTTACGCACGATAATTTTCATGCAGGTATCTGATAATATGGTTAGTAACTCTTAGTAACTTTTTTTGTGCTTTCACGTGGTGTTGACGGAATTTTTTTTAGAATTTTTCAAAGTAAGATTTGTTTACCTTCAAAGTAGGGCAAAATCACGATATCTGGAAAATAATTATGTCAAGTCATATCTTGGCTTTTTAAAAATTCACCCTCGTCTTTCCAAATTGGCTGCCATCTTGGATTTGGGGTACCCCCTTTGACCGGGGGACTTTTTTGACTTCATATCTGAAATCTACGACCAAAATTACATAGGAATCGACACCTCACATGACACTGTATGTGTATTTTAAAAAGATCAAAATCCCAGAGGCCTTATTATGACCTTAATTTTGAAATTCAGGCAATTTGGGGGGATGTTCCAGGATCGAACTGTGGTAAACTTTTGGTATGTTGTTCAAGAGGACCTACTGACGACGTTTACAGAGGAAAGTTTGTTAAGCAATTTGTTTTGAGTTATACTTCTCTTTTTTTCGGATTTCTCCTTGACTAACCCCCTAAAAACCCGAAAGTCATGAATTTAAGGATACGAATTTTGGGCAATATGCTTGAATAGCTATGTACTGACATTTGATTGATTATTAATGTATAGGATAAGCATTTTAAAGCCACAAAAACAGCCCATCTTGACTTTTTCAGCGCCTTGACCTGAAATTCCCGCCAAAAAAGCGAAAAATCGCATTTTCTCAAAAACGGCCAAGCTACAGATTTCGCAGTTTGTTGTTCCTCAATCAGTAGGCCTTCTAGTTACATTCACGCAAAAAAATTTCGGGTGGTATGTAGACCGCATTAAAAGTGTTTAAAACGTACTGTGTGAGGTGTCTTTCCGAGTGGTGGGCATTTTGAAGGAAAACTAAAATGAGTCCTTACTGGGGNNGGGGGGACTAAATCTCATACGACATTAAACCAACGATCTAGAAACTATAGATTGGTGATGGCCTACGAAAAAACGTAACACACATGGAGCGTTCGTTCGATAGGCGGGCGGGGAGTGGAAATGGCCGATTGCTATCTTCGTCATAACTTCAAATACATGGAATCTTACAGGAGTTTTTACAATAAATGATTTAGCGTTGAAATTTTCATCATAAACGCACTTGATGAATGGCTAAGTGCTGTATCTGGACACCGATTTCCTAATAGTTGGTTCAAAATTTGATATAAGTCCGTATTAAGCAACAGACCCATGAGAAGCCATAGAAACCGACTATCTTCGTCCTAACCTAATTGTTGCTCCTAGTATGTTACGAATTTCACTGTCGGCTTAGCATGGGATCTCCCTATCTATAGTTTCTAGATTGTTGGATTAAACACACGAAAGTTGTTCGTCGACAATGTAAACAGATGGCCATCATGCAACTAACAAGTAATGTGTGAAAATATGAATGCAGCAGACACTTCATCCGATTTCAAGCATATTTCAACGTGTTCTATGCACGCGAGATCACCTAGTTGCGGACCGCCTGCGAACGCGTTGCAACCTGCAGCCTTTACTATGGACTCAGCTGTCAGCTCAAAGTTTATGGCAAAATATACAAAGTGTTTCAAAAAGCAATTTCCAAGTCGCCCGGACTGATTGTGAAACTTAATGAAGCCAAGATATGACTTAACATAATTATTTTCCAGATATCATGTTTTTGCCCTACTTTGAAGGTAAACAAATCTTACTTTGAAAAATTCTAAAAAAAATTTCGTCAACACCACGTGAAAGCACAAAAAAAGTTACTAAGAGTTACTAACCATATTATCAGATACCTGCATGAAAATTATCGTGCGTAAGCAATGCGCCAAAACGTGATATACCGCGATGTGCGAATTTCAATTTTCGCACATTGTCTTTTCGCCCCACTTTGAGAGCAAAAAAATCGTACTTTGAAAAATTCCAAAAAATGTATGTTAACACCACGTGAAAGTACGCAAAAAGTTGGGTTAAGTACCATACTTTCAGATGTCTAGATGAATTCCATCATGCCTTCGGAGACGCTTCGAAACGCCAAAAAGCGCGATTTGCGGAAATCGAACTTGCAAGCGTACCACACACAACAGCCGTGCGGCACGGTTAAATTTTTTTTTTTTCAATTTTCTTTTTTGGTCTTTCTTTACACAATAAAAGGAAACTTTTGCAGGGTTCTCCCATTAAAAATTCGAAAAAGCTAGTTTTAACGGCCATCCTACTGACCACCTCACCTACCATTGCTCAAGTAAACAAGTTGTTTTGAAAAGGGAACAAGTTCATTGTCAGATAACTTTCAGATGCAAACTTCACAAGAATGCTAGAATTTCAGGGCTCATCTGAAAATAATTTTGTTTACTTTCAGAAACAGCTTGTTGAGGTGGCTTTGCCTTAATAAGAAAGGTATGCACTTATTTCAAATACCTTATTATCAGATCTTTGCATAATCCCTATGATCCTTTATTTGTTGCAACTGTTTACATGCTGTTTGCAGGTGATATCCTGATTTTGCGGTATCTTAACTCCACTTGCTTTTTTGCGCCAGAATTTAAATCCCTGGTGTCATCAGTTTTGGCCACGAACATCAGGCTCTGGCAACTTCCCTGAAATCCTAGCAAGATAAAACTTTCAAAGCTGAGTTTGCAGCTAGATGTCAAATCGTAATAAGCTTAATGTCCTCTATTATGCAATTGACAGAAAGAAATACAATTTTTCGATTATCGGGACCTACTAAGTAAAAGAAAAGGAGCCCATTGCTTTTATCAATCTTTGAAGTAAAACCTTTTTCTTAACAATGATGGTCCAATTTTAATCAATAAACTTTTGTCTGAAGAATCTATTCTGTTTTAAATGGACCTTTAAAATTGATCTAATTTTTCTAAGTATTTATTTGAAAAAAAAAAGAATAAAGGAAAAACTTGTGATTTGCTCGCAATTGCCATCTTTAGTAGAGACCTTATAGGGAAAAATCCAGAAGTACAAGTGAACTATCCAGAGTATAAATCAAGCGAATTTGATCATTCACCATCAGTCTGTTTTCAATGGTTAGAATTTAAGTCTGACTCAGTAATTTTTGACCTATTGCAGCTGGTGATACCTGTGAAAGAATTGACGCTGGTGATGTGTGCCTTCGCGGTTTAGCTGTAATAATGCCTTTGATGACCTTAGACTTACTTAGATTTCCTACACTGTGCCAAAAGTATTACAAAGTAAGTTTCATCTAACTACAATATTGCTCTCCACCTTTTACTTCCAATTCATACCAAAATCGATCACTTTGTTTACTTATCTGAGAATATTGATGGAACTGGAGGAAAATTCTGACCAATCTGAATTTCAGACTCATCGATAATCCGACTTTTCAAAATTCCACTGTACTTGTTTCCTTTTAAAAGCTTCATGTACAAAACAGACTGTGCAACAGCAAGTTTCATAAACATCATCTGATTAAGATACACTATACCTCAGATCACCCAAACTAATTTTGGGAGGGCTGATTTTTTTTTTTTTTTATTACTTCTAGAGCTGTGCGATTAAGGATTTTTGAATTCGATTATATTAATTGCAATCAATCGCAATTTAAATCACGATTTCGATTAAAATTGGGAGAAGGTAAACAATGATTAAATTTTGGCATCTTTATTTTTTTTTTTTTGAAGAATTTTTCTTTAGACTGCGAAAGCTGATATTTCAATATTTTTTCCCTCATTCTTCTTGAGGTTGACTTATTGTCTTTCTTTCTAGAAGATCCTCTCCGCCCCAACTAAGCAAGATTTTTCCAGCTTATTGGCTTTGAGAGGAGAAAGAACAAACACAACACTAGGCTGAGAGTAGTCCTCTCTATTTTAATAAAATCATTTTTAAGCCGCTCGTTGGACCGGGTGAAGAAGGAGAGTAAGACGGTCGATGGGCAGGAGTGAGGAAGAAGAGTTCAAAGGTTAGAGTTTTAATAGAGTGGGACTTTACTTTCAGAAGCCTTTGTATAGTCATGGACAGCTTTATGTGCTCCTGTAAAGGTTGACTTCCAAAAAAGGAATAAAAATTCAGAGTAGCAAAGTCATTAAAAATATTTTTTGGTAGGAAATTTTTCTTTGAAACATCTTTTTATTCTTTAATTAATATTATTTGCTCACTAACCGCCAACGGGCGATTTCGACGATTTCTTCGAAGCAGCCAGGTGGCATAACCCCCTTGTTAATAATAATCTCGTAAAATCGCAAGAGGGTATGTCCGTCCACCCGCCAACAATTTTTCTTTTCAATTGCATGTCCTGCCAGCCTCTTCCATCATAAAGCCCGGTGCGTATAATTTGACGGGGTCGGCATATATCTATTGCAATTTTTAACCGCTAGAAGCTAACAGCGCGCTAGTGATGCAAATTCGAACAAATGCGGAGGAAATTTCAAATTCAAAGTACGGTGGAAAATTTAAAATTTCCTGAAGTTAAATTAATTGACTCAATCGCGATTAATTTTTCAATTCTATCACAATTACGATTAACATTCAACTAATTGCACAGCTCTAATTATTACTCATTCCTTGTATTTTCTCTGGTCAAGTAGGGCAGACCAATTGTTACGACTCCTTTCTACTCTTTCTTGATTGCTGTCCCAATATGTACTCATATTCCCCAGCTGCCTTACCGCTAATTTTTAAACTGGTGAATGAATTGGAGGTGAGTACTGAGTACTCCTCTGTCAGTAAGAAGTATCCTGGTTTTAATGAGCATTATGTCATTTCTCCAAAATCAATTTCAATGATGATGGTTGGTCTGTTTACCATCTAGAGTCTCAGTGTTTTTTCAGTGTCATTTTTTTTTAAATGAGTAAGACACTGAAACAAGAAATAGTGTGTGATACAGGAAAACAGCAAGTGAAAGTGCATGAAGAGAAACGGGAAAACGTTTTTGTCAAACTAGTGTTTACTTCATGATACGAGGGGTATTTGTAAGGTAAGTAAATATTTGTCTCATCTTCTAAACTAATAAAGATAACACGGCACAGCGAATTTCGGGTTTTGGTTTGTTCTATGAACCAAAGCAATTTTTTTCGATTCCAAGGTAATAAAGAAGTCCGGTAATGCCCATAAGAACTTCAGAAAAATTGTCTGTTGCTCAGAGAGCCACCATTTCGAATTTATCAAATTTGAGAATATCGACGATCAGTTTTTTTTTTTAAATATCTCCTCAACGGTTAATTTTACAAAAAGAAACCAGAAGAAAGAACCAAAAATTTCCTACCAAAATCACCCTCCCTTTTTTTTCCTAGCTTAATTTTTTGGTCGTAAAATTAACTTTTTGATAAAAAATTAGCTCAAAAAGGCGCATTTTTGCTGATTTTGGAAGAAACTTTGGTTCACATCTCCAGTCACGATTGTCTGAGAAAAAAACTGTTAAGCTCATTAAAAAGAACGTAAAATTTACTTTTAGAAAACATATGTCAAAGGTTTCAAAGCTTGGCTTAATCTTGTGAAACAGCATTTTAATAGCTCAGACCCAGTAATGTGAATTTTTCGACCGTTTTCCTTACAATCAAGAAAAAAAAACCTAAAAACGTGGCCCTAACTGTGAAACAAGGTGGCAAAATAGTACTGGGTCCACACTATTTTGCGGGGAAAACTAAATAAAAAAAATCAAACATTTTCAATGAGAGTCTACAATTTTGAGCTCGAATGGGCACCAGTACAAAACTGAGGGGGAGAGTGTTCAGCTCAGGCAAATTGCATTGGACTATTAAGTTGTGGTCTCAAGGAGAGATCTATAATTTTGGGTCTTTTTGGACCTCCTCAGTAGATCACACTCGTCAGTGAACCCAACTGAGCATCTCGCAACATCCAAGACGGCATCTAATTAAAAGTTTTGTACTGCAGCCGCGGGATCGTGGCGTGAACTATTAGGCAAGGATGTTGTCGACGCCCCTAACTCCTCGGCCCTCCGAAAGAAGGTTGCGGGGAGACCTCTCCAGAAAATTTTGAATTTTAAGAACGCATTTTTTTCTCTTTTTCGTTTTCCCCTGTCCTTTTTCCCTTTCGACTTTTCGGCGCCCCCCTCTCATCAGACCTGGGGCAACTGCTCGGTTTGCTCATACAACGCCTAGGCCCTGACTGGAAGATGGCAAGTTTTATACTGGTACTCACTAGATCTAAAAATGTTTGAACTTTTTGGTTTTGTTTTTCCCGCAAAATAGTGTGAATCCAGCATTTTTTTGCCACCTTGTTTCACAGTTTGGGTGACGTTTTTAGGTTTTTTTCTTGATAGTAAGGAAAATGGTCGACAAAATCACATTTTAAGGGTAGAGCCATTAAACTGCTGTTCAAAAGGATCAGGCTTTGAAACTTTTGACAAATGTTTCCTAAAAGTGAATTTTACGCTCTTTTCAATGAGCTTAATAGGTCTTTCTTAGATAATCGTGGCTGGTGACATGACCCAAAGTTTCTCCCTTAATCAGCAAAAATGCGCCTTTTTTAAGCTAATTCTTTATTAAAACGTTGATTTGATGACCAAAAAATTAAGCCAGGAAAAGAAAGGGAGGGTTATTTCGGCAGGAAATTTTATGCTCTTTCTGCTGGTTTTTTTTGGCGCGTATACGTAGTATACCGCCTTTGCGATCGTTTCGAACCCTGCTCGATACAATAACCGAGTCCCTTAGTTCCTTACCGAAAAGTGACTACTGCGAACTTCTGAGATTTTCCAAAGCGTGTAAAAAGTTTATTTATCCGTCAATAATTATGATTTAAAGTTGTTTCTCATTCTGGGGCTCTCTAGTTTATGTGCAGTGAATACCAAGAGTCTACGTTACTTGGTTTTCTTAAAAAAACCTAAGAGTACGACGCGCTGATTTAAAATATGCATATATAAGCAGAATCAAGCGAACTGATTCGAGGACGGCTGAGCAGGTCGGCACTCTTGGAATGAGAATTTAACTCCTCCGTTTTGTTCAAAACGTTGCTTTGACAGATCTCCACACCTCTGTTATACTTTTCAAAAGTTGGTACCCGTGCTCTGATAGTGCAATCTGTGTAAGTGCAATCTGTGATGAGCCTCGAGACTCATTAGACCATTAGCTAAACGTGGCTCATACAGGAATCCACTTACCCCTCTCTTCCCCACGCTCCTGATCACTGCGTCGGCGTCTCGACGAACAATAGCTAATGACGGTCGCCAAGCGAGGCCGGGATCCTCAGCCCCTCGCCCAATTACTTACGCTTCATTAACCATTTCACCGTCACGCTAGGATTCGCCCAATTTTCAAAAAAAATTGTTTCGCAAGTTTTTAGCAATTTTTTCCTTACTCTCCGTTGAAACACGAATTAAAAGAGGTCTCATTCATAAAAATCGGCCAAATAGAAGAGAAGTTACAGTATTCGAAATCCGAAGAAATCAACAAAACTTCTCCAAACAAAAAATAAAATGAAGGGGGAAAAAAAGAAATGTATAAATTACAATTTAATACGATTGACCTCAGAATGTGACAAGCAATTCAATTATAAATAGGAGAAAAAATTGAGTGAAATTACAAAAAATTAGCCTCTCGCAAGGGGTTTCCTTGTATGAGTTTTGACCTGAAGACAAGTAAATCCCGTTATATTATTAAAACGAAATTGACTCCATAGTTTAATGCCTTGGTTTCTTGAATACGATTATTTTAAGCACTCGAAAATTTATACCAGCAATTTTACCCATGGGGTGATTCCCTGAGAGCTGATAATATCACGAATTTCTCATAGAGCCCTTCAAAAATGGCTTGCTTTTTGGGCAGCCGATTCGGCCATCACACCGGGGTTTAAATGGAAGCTGAAAATAACACAAAGCTCTGAGAAAAATTTTGAGGTGAGTATAGGAACGGTTTGTAAATTACGAGGAGAGGCGGGCATTCTGTTCAGCATATCGATACATAAGTATTTTCACACGTATAATTTAATTTTCACGTCAGGGAGTCGACATATTTTGATTTTTTCGATTTTATACGGAAAATTTATGGTTTTTCGGGATTGAAATTACTTACAATTGTTTCATGAAAAATGAATGCACCCAAAATGACTATAACATTTTGACTTTCACATACGTGCACTCACTAAATTGATTGGTAAATTCAAAGAGTGGGTACATCGACCTGGTATATCAAGTTTCTGCGATTTTTTACGGCAAATCGGTAGATTTTCGGGATGTGGATTGCTTACTTTCAATTCATGAATGAATCAAGCATGGACATGGTTGAGCTTCTTTGCATGAAAAGACATTTAAAATAACAAAATCAAGACATATTTAATACAATTGCATTTATATCAAGTCAATTTCTTTTCAATAATATAACGGGATTTATAATACCCGTGATTTGGGTATTTTAGCCCCAAAATACCTTTAAATCGACTTTATCTACTAGGAGTTCGACAGAATTTTTCCTTTCTTCGCTTAAATTTTTCTGTAGCACTTTTCTTCAAGAATCTGATAAGATTTTGCTTCAGGCAGATAAAAAAACTTAAATTCGTTCGAATAGCTTTCTACATTCACAATACACGGTCTCGTCAAAGTGCGTCATTGACCTTGCAGTGTTGGATCGTGAATTCTCTTGTTGTGCTGCTTGCCTTTTTTATAATCTCTGTAAATGAAAACTAAAGGGGTTGATATGTGCGAGATAATGACGCGCCTTATCAACACATTGTGTTGGAGTTCACTGCTTGTCTAAAATTAAACGTTGAGGAGATATCTTAAAAAAACTGATCGTGGATTTTCTCAAATTTGAAAAATTCAAAATGGTGGCACCCTGAGAAATATTTCCCAGACAATTTTTCCGAAGTCACTATGGGCATTTTCAGACTTCTATATCACATAGGAATCGAAAAAAATTGCTCTGGTTTGAAGGACACAACCCATGTTGAGTGGTGATGATTTAAATCTGTAAAAAGCGTTTGAATTGTCATACTTCCAGCTTTCTAAAAAACTTCAGTTATTTATATTCAGTCTTCTAGTAGCCGAGTAACATCAGTTTTCCCACACCCATCTCCTGCCACCGTGTTTCTGAAATTTTTGGCACACTGGGGAGTTGGCAGTTGTCTTCTGGGATGCTCAAGGAGTGTTACTCATTGCTTCCTTAGAAATACGCACAATTGTCGATACTGACAGATAATGTGATGTAATGAAAAGACTGAAATTAGCCATCAAAAGAAAACGCCCACACAAACAGCAACACAGAACAGCAACACTCATGTGACCAACCAGTCGTTGACCTCCTTTAAATTGGACCTTTTCCTACATCCCCCATATTCTCCGGATCTCGTCCCAAGTGATTTACCACTTATTTCTTGAGCTGAAGAAGGTTTTTGATGGAAAAAGATGCGCGGACAATGGTGAGGTGCAAAAAGCTGTACAAAAGTGGTTGCAAAAGCAGGATCGACAGTTATACGCTGATGGAATCAAACAGCTGGTGTCACGTTATAAAAAATGCATTCAACAAGATGGGGATTAGCAAAGTAAAAGTAAGGTAAGGCCTTCTCAAACATGAAACTTAGCAATTTTGAACAAAAAATTGCTTTTTGACAATTTGCAGGATGAAGCGGCACGCTACTGTCCTGTGAACTCCTAACCGCGAGTAAATTTTGGACACGCGGTGGCAAGAGACAGGTGTGGGAAAAGCGATGTTACTAGGCACCCAGAAGACCGAATTTAAAAAACTGAAGTTGTTTAGAAAGCTGAAAGTATGACAATTCAAACGCTTATCACGGATTTAAATTATTTTCATTAATTTAGAAGATATGACAAATATGAACTTACTTTACGCATACCCCTTGGATTTCACAGTGTCAGATTCAGCTCGTCAGTGATCTTTGCATTATCCAGACAGGCTGGCCACCAAATTACTTGACATAATGGTAATGTTGCATTGTGTCAACAGACCCAAAATCTGATGATGGAGTCAACGATTGTTTACGTCGAGCTCAGGAAGTAAAACGTAAAAATGAGCCGTGAGCATTGTGTCAACAATCACGGTGTCAGCAAACAGAAAAAATATCTTCCTCACAAGTAAAATAAGAAAATTAAGTCTACAGGAGAGGTTTGGGTCACGTATTGATTAGGTTAAGACATGTAAGGTTAGATTTGGCAGGTAAGGTTGAAGTTAGGTAAGGTAAGGTCATAAAAGTTAAGTTCAGTGAAAGTGGGTTAGGTCTTGTAAGGTAAAGTTTGGTTAGGTTAGTTAGGTTAGGTTAGAGTAAAAAACACAAGACAAACAAGACTTGAAATTTGAATAATGTTATAAAGGGAAGTTTTAAGTTCTATTGACACCATGATCATTGACACCGTGATTATCTTTCAAAGGATTCAGAATTTTTTATTTTTGGATGACCACAGTGTTAACAAAAACTAAGAAAAACTGATTGTTGACACCAACAACGTACCACCAACCACCAACAACGATTATGCTACGTATAATCTGGGTTTTAGTGTATGAATATGTATACTCATTCAGTATTTATTGAGTGAAAGATCAATCACACCCTTTTATAATGTCATAAATCTCATGTTCATTTTAAACACTGATTTTCAGTATCTCACGTTTTTGTGCAGCAGTGATCTTTTTTTTTTTTTTTTTTTTTTTTTTTTTTTTTTTTTATTTTTTTTTTTTTTCACTTCAAATATCCCACGAGGGATAATCTTGCACTTTACCGTCTCTAGAGCCCCATCCCACCTCCGTCCCTAATCAAGCTAGCCCCAGATAACCGTTGTTCTAGACCATCAAACTCGGGTCACTTGGCTGGGAATCAAACCCAGGACCTCCCGATCATAGAGCAAGTGCTACAACCATTACACCACTGGAGGTCGACCACATCTATCCACACACAATACACACTTTTGTCTGATGACTTATTTTGCTCCTGAAAATTCTTTAAAATATTTTTAACTACATATTCATCTTTTGTTTTCTTGCAGTTAATCACAAATATCGCAGAACTTCATCCTCAAAAAATCTGCGAACAACCAGAGCATATGCTAAAAAACATTCTAGCTTCAATTGAACTTGGAATGACAATGTTCGATCAAAGTGTAGTGGTCTACTGTTGTGATTTTTTGCGAGTTGTTGGCAGTCATTTATATCAGACATCGCCCCAGTCATATATACAAGCTAGACAATCTTTTAAACCTTTTTTAAAAGTAAGTTTTTAGCTCTGATCGCTCATCCATCAGCCACCAGCTTTTATCCTTTATCATTTTCTCATTTGTATGAATTTGATGTCATGAAAGCTTATTTTGAAAAAGCAAGTCTAATCAGCTCTCTAAGAATAAAGAAACACTCTGATCGCAATGTATTCGTGAATCATGGGGCACTACATACTTTTCAATTGTAGCTATCAAGTTTAAAGATGCAAAGAATCCTAGCAAAAGTTCTTGTGAACCTCAAATGCCGTAAAGGTACTGATTTTATCATACTTATATTTTAAATATCGTATCAGGTGGCATTTACCTAAAATTTGACAAGCCATCTGAACACAATCAGTTTTCTAAGTCAATGGAGCTTAGTGAAACTTTGCTGAAAACTAATTCCCGCATTTAAAGCTTTTTGAACCATAATAATGTTCATGTGGAGAGATTTCTTCCTCCAATAGTTTTGCCTAAAAACGTACGAAGCTCTACATTAAATACATATATAATTGAAAGGATGCGGCTAATTCAATATGTCTAATTTTTTTCCAGTTAATAATGGATCTCATTTTATCTCATCAAGTGAATTCAGATATTCTGCCAAATATCGGAGGAGCCTTATCTATCTTAATATGCTGCTTTCAAGTAAGTCAAGTATTCTTCCTACCTTAAGGAAAGTAATTTCTTTTTTAAGGAGCACGAAATGAAGGAATTGAAGTTTATTCCTGATTCTATTTTCCTCTAAGTGAGCTTTTTTTTTTTTTAAATATTGAGCCAGATAATCTCAGGAGGGATTCACCTGCAAATAGTGGATTTCGACAGTTTTCAATACAAGTATAACAATTCGCATGGTATTGTTGCACGAAAAATTGTCTCTGCGGAGATGGCGGTGGTGAAGCCAACCTGCTTACTAACCACCTTACTGCAGTTGTTGACATCTCGATTTCTTGTTTGAGCTTAAGTAAGTTCCGTGTGAATGTTTCATTTTCTATACAAATCTGTATCGAATTCTGACTGAAAAGTCAGAGAAATTAAGAACAACAGGTCAAAATTACAAACGAACTATCCTACTTGACCTCCAATCAACCAATAATAACGCTGTGTATTCTTCCATTACGAATTCTGCCGCTATATTGATCATGATGACTGTTGAATGCTATGAACGTGCAGTTCAAACCCCGTTTTAGGCCACCCTAATTTTTGGCACTATAAAGTCAGCTTTTCTCCTGGTTCAAGAATAAAAACTTAATCCAATATTACTGCGTATTTCTGTGCTGATTCTCAAAATGCGTAGCTTATGTTAACTTCTGTGCAATTCTATGGACTGCATAGAAAATCAGTGTTCATATAGAGTCTAAACACAGCATCAACTCATCTGTAGTTACCTCTACCGCTACTGTTGTGCTATGCGTGTTATGTGCATGCTCTGAGATGAACTCACTGGCTTTAGAGCTGAACATTGCAATTAGCGATTTTTTTAGATTATGTTTCTGCTAAGTGCATTTAAGCATTACATTTTACCATATATTTTACCGCCTGTAGATTGAAGCATGCAAATACCTTGAACTGATTGTTATTATTGTTTCCATTTCAGAGCGACTTCATGATCCTGGTCTCACAGTTAATCTCAGCGCAGCCTGATGCTGTGATTGCTGACAAACTTACAAAAGCCTTCACTGCATTAACAACAAATATTGAACAGACGGCATTGCGTCAATCCAAGTTTGAAATAAAGTTTGAACAGTTTATGATAGATATTCGCAGTTTTCTATTTATCAAATGATCTCGTTCTGTTGCATCTGCCTAACACAAGGTTTCAAGCAAATAGCTTGACTTGCATGTCAGCTGCTGTGAGTATGAAGTTCCTTCTACAAAACCTTATATTCACCCTCATTCAGGGACAGGCCTGTCTTTCAGGTGCCAAAATTTTCGCCTTTTTCACATTGAAACGGCACACACCAATCATTCAGACTTATCCTCAGAATTGCATCTTACGAACGATTTGGTTACATTGGTATCATGTCCAAGTACATGATACTAATTTTATTTTCCTCTAAAACACTCATGAAGTTTTAGAACCGAAATATATTTTTATCATTGACAAGTTGAACCCAATTTTCTCACATGTTCTATTTTTCATAATGACATGAATCGTTTTTAAACACTACTTATTTTCAAATACTCCATACTTTGTAGGATTTCCTCTGATCGTCAGCTGAAAAAGCAACAGTGTTGACAAATGATTGCTGAAGACTTACCAAGCCTAGTACATCATCATTAATACTGTCTAGTACGCTGATCACCACTGATAAATGCACCAAATAAATAGCCGGTCTATTAATGCTAAAAATTAATCTTGCCAATAACTACAGTAGAAATACCCTTTGCATACGTTTTCGTTTATTTGTAGTTGTTTATAATTTCACATAGAATGTTTTCCAATCGTCTGCCTTATTGTCTCAGAATGTGCCCTGTGTGGAACTAGAATATTTGTGAATCATTAATCAATGGCAAGAAATTTTCTATATCATTGGATGCTTTTTGGAATGATTAATATTTCTTATTTGCTAGCCAAGCCCATCCTTGGCTGTTGGATTTCTCTTCTCTGTTTGATCATGTGTTATGTGGTGTGCCTTAAGTTCTTTGTTGTTTATGTAGCGAGGTCATCAAAGGGATTGAACTAAAAACATTTTTGAATAGTCTCAAAATTTTGAGGTCTTCCTGGGTCACCATTATCAAAGACTTACAATGTGTACAATGTTGCTCAGATTTTTGTTTTTGAAAAATTTGAAACCCACTGACCTCATTTTGTTGGATTTTTTCTGTCACTCCTAATTTCTCCTGTACAAGTATCAACTTTTTCAGTTGCTCCTCAAGAGATTGATGTAAAATTGACCTTCCTCCCCTTCCGGATTTTAGTATAATTTTTGGTGTATTAACAAAGTACAGTGAGGGGCATCTTTTCCCAAACTTTCAACCCTTGAATGAAATTTTATAAGGGAGAGGTTGGAGCTCAGAATTGAATAACTTTAACTTTCAAACAGCTTTTAGATAATGTTTCAACAAATTAAATTATTGACGTCCGGTTTGCCGAGGCAACTTCCACACCAGGCTTTTGAACGAGTATACATGTTGCATTTTAACTCTTGCAACTTAAAGTTATGAATATTTGACCCGTTCGGATTTGAGTCACACTTTTTCTTGTGTCCGTGGAAATACTGAAAAAGGTCTTACTTTTAATTTTTAGCAACAGCAAATATGTCGCTCTTTGAACCGTACCGATCATAAACAATTTTAATGTGTCTCCGGGGAACTTTTTGTTTGCGAGCAATGATCAAAACTAACGGTAACAACCACTTTTTGGGCTTTCTTGAGGTGTGCACTATTGCTCCCCACTCAGGTGATGTCGAGTTTGGATCTCGGCTGTTGCTACGTGTTGTCTGGCTCCGCTGCGATATCTCTTGGTGCACAGTTTTTATCTCGAGTTTCTACTCAATAATATTTCAGAAAAATTGCAAACACATCGGAATTTGTTTGGTTAATAGTCCTTTTTTTCCCTCCCTCTTTATTGATAAGTGTACTGCCTCGCAAGAGAGATTAATATGCTTCATGTGTGCTGATTATTCTGTGCTTTTTTTTTGTGAGTGCCTTTAGAAAAATGTCTTCATAAGAATACCTCCATACAAAGCAAGAAAGAAAGACACAATTAATTATATTAAGTAACTTTTATTCACCTAGTCGTTCGCTACCACTAGCATTTAATTTTCAACGGGGTTGTTGCCTAGTTTTTTTTTTTCAATTTGTTTCCCGAAAGTTTGTGTAAAATGAGAGTGCCTGAATTTTTCCGTTTCTCATTTAGTCAAATTTTAGCTGAGAAGAAACTTTCAAAATTGCATAAAATCTAATCTGTGTTACAATCAAAAGAATATTGTATCAGCAGGTTTTGTTACTCATTAGAAAAAATAACTGCTGCATATCCATTCACCTACGTTTGCATTTTTACTTAAGGTTGCAATTGTAAGGAGAGGTTAAATATTCTAACAATGCTTGCAATATTGTCGCTTGTTGAGGTAGATATTTTTGTCGATTGTTTGAAATGAAATTTTTTGTTCATGATTAAAATTGCACAGTGGCCGTGTGGCATTAGATTCAAGATGGTTGAAACCGTGGATCATCGTCTCACAATTACGTCATAAGTTGCAGGCCAATGAGATACATTCTCTTTTTGACCTCAACTCCAAGCCTTTCCTTTTCCGTCAAATAAGCTGCTTTAGGCTGTTTGAAGCTTGAAGGCGTTTCTTGATAAAATATACTTCAGAATCACCTATTTTCTGGGCTATTTTTTGATGTTGCAAATGAGGCGGTTTTTTTTTTACCCCACGAGAATATAGATCATATACGATGTTTGTGAGGCCTTTCTCGTATCTTTTCAAGAATTTCACAATAGAGCCGCTTTTAGAATTGAGGCTGACAGGAACTTAATTAATAACATTCAATGTTTGTGATAATTAAAAAAATGTATAGGCAAAACAATTAGACTAATGTCAAAGCTTCATTTGCCAACTGAGCACTTGCAGTAATAACTTAGAACTGACGGTGAATTGTATATTAGAGGAGTCAGTTTTAAAATTCACGCTAATCCTGCTGACAAAGATTTGGAGTATGACTAGCCATGTTCCTTCCTCAAAGTTGTTTTAATGATTTATTTTATTCTTCCACTTATTGTTGATAGTTTTGAACTCTTCCTTCTATTTTGATGTTTTCGTGTACCTTACCTCTCCACATCTACACATCTGTTTGTTCTATCCATTCTAAGTAGCTTGAAAATATGAGCGTTTTCCTCGAAATGACTTTAGGTTTTTAGCTTTTCCTCGTTGCGTTTTTTTCCTCAAGCATTTAAGCCGGATAGAATAGAAATTTGCACTTTCCAAAAGATTGATGTGGGTATTTTGAATCCATACTTTTTTTCCCCAGTCTCCCAGTCTTAATCATTCAGTGTGCGGAAAATTTCTTTATTTTTCAACGCTGCTTAGGGCTGTGTATCAAAGAGAGTATAAAGTTGATGTCAGTAAAGCTTCGAATGCCTCGTCATTGGCTCTGTTTGTCAAACCTGAAAAATAATACCAAGAAATTCAGTGCAACAGCAAATGTGTAAAGGTCTTACCCTACCCAAAAAATAATAAAGAAGAAATTAATTTTCCATCATGGATGAAATTTTTAAGTCTTTTTCAACAAGTTCCTAATCTTGTTCATTTGTTTTTAATTTTTCCAAGCACTTTCTTTTCTTTTTGAAATGAAAATGTTCCTTTTTTCTTAGCATCTGTATTGTGGAATAACTTTGCTAATTTCAAGGACTTATCATAGACAATAGAGAACATCTGTCCAAAATCCTAAACAATTTTATTATTTTGATATGTTTTAACATAATTAGCTACTTTATTAAAACACTATCTTTTTGAAACTTGTTAAATATCAGGCTTAAAGTGAATCCAGCTGGAAATGAGTAGACATGAAGGTACAAATAATTTTTTCTAAACCAAGCTAGGTTCAAAGAAAAATCAAATTCATTGTGTGTCTTTTTAGCCATTTATTTCTATCTGGTAATCTGTATCAAATGTAGTTTTTGACATTTAAGGTCAAATTTAAGTCAGAACATTCTTGGCTCCACCGATGCTCTTAACTATATTTCCAATCCCTGGAAGATTAAATTTTACCAACCTCATCCTAATTAATGACCATATGCTCATATTTATTCCTTAGGAGCCCAGTAATTTTGCAGAAACTTATTTCTTGTATGATTTAATGCCACGTGTTTTCAGTTTAATTAATTTTCAGGCTGTTTGATTAATTTTAATCAACAGGTCTGATCAGGATCTACAAGATTTTTAAAGTCTCTGGATGATTCCCAAATTTTCCTTACAGATCATTTGCAGTCAGGGAAAATTACTGATGGTAGGTAGTTCTCTTGTCTTTTTCTGAAAAAGCATTTACAGTGATCATTCAGTTGGACTGCATTTTGCAATTAAAAACTATAAATTTTGGGTATGTGCCATTAGTTTCCCTATGCACATACATGTTTTTTCAGATGAGTTAGAATTTATAACTCCCAATAGACCGTATTCGATAACGGTTCGATGTATCGTTTGGTTCAAAACAATAGAACATGACCTCAAACCAAACTGTAAGGATTTTAATTGGAAAAGCTGAAAATGAGAAATTTCCTGACAATTTCACCTTGCATATGCATTTGGTACTCAAAAGAATAAAAAATCTGTTTCAAAAGATCCGTTCTCTCAGATTTCTGAATTTACTTTTGAGGCTATGTTTATGTTTTGAACCAATCGATATCGATACAATCTCACCCATTTGATGTATCAAATACGATCTATTACAAAATGCAGTCCAGTTATCCTGATTGATTGGGATTAGATGGATCCGAAGAAAAAAATCTAAATGTTCAGAAAACAAATTACAAGCATCCGAATCTCATGTTGCATTTTTTCATGAAAATTTTGGCATCATATCTAAATTTAGGCCAAATGGTCCTCAGCAAATCTATTTTAGATAATGAAGAGTCCGCTGATTGCAGATACTTGATTATTATTTTTTAATATTTTAATTATTTTTGTTGTGGAGTGTAAATGTCTGCCTTTTTTTTCGAACATCTGATTGTTTCTGTGTGTTAATCTAGAGCGTTTAGTAAATACTTTGGTGTTTTCTTGTTCTACTATGTGATGCTATTAACAAATTAGACGCACTTAGGTTCTTTTTTTATCCTATTGTTAATCTTTTGCTCTGATTATTTTCGACATTCTTAAGTTTCAATAATATCATTGGAAAGGATATAGTGATCGTTTCTAAGTTTTTGCATTATATTTGTTTATTTTTTATCTGTGGCTTTTAAAGTTGCTTCCATTTTGCTTTAAGTCAGTCGCGCGATACTGTAATAAACAATTCATGGAGTAACCTACACTTAAGTCCACATGAGCTAGGAAAAAAGGGGAGCTTCCCTTTGCTTGCTATACTTACTCTCGGTAGAAATAGAAGCTAAAAAGAATTTTGGGTGTAGTCCGTCACTGCTTTGCATAGCGTGAAGTTTTTCAATTCTTTTTCCCGCCTCATGTGTTCTCAGATGAAGGTATTTTCAAGTAAATAATGCATTAAAGCGTACAGTCTTCAAACTAAAAGAGGTATTGGTTAGTTTGTAACTGTAAGTTCGCACAGTCTATAACAGCTAAATTATGCTCATGAGCATTTAATTCTTCTGTTTGAAGAAAATATAAAACCACCAATGATATAGTTGGCATCTTTTTTGCTTCCTTACTTGTTGATCTTTTCATGTATAGTTCAGTTTCAATTGTTATTTATAGTGAGTGGAAAAGATTATTTTCTCTAGGTCTTTATTGCCTTTGATGCTCTGAGTTTTTTCCTTGGATTTTGTCTTTTTTAATAAAAAATTGTTACTACAATCTACGCTCAGCCAAAATTCCTTTTCAAAGAAGCTGCAAAAAATTCCTACTCAAACACTTAATATTTGATGTCTAATGCTCATGCAATGTTTTAATATTTTTCTTTCCCCTGAAATCAGCCACTGTGAAATCATTTTGTCAACTTTACCTTTATGCACTCCAACGTTATAGGAAACAAATTTACAAGGCTCAACTCATGAGGCTAGGTAAGGAATTGAGTAAGGTTCAGCTTCCAATGACTTGTATAGAAATTAATAATATGGACAAATAGACCCCAAAAAAAATTGGTTTGAATATTTTTCATGAATCTACTAATGGTTACAAATGAATCTATACTTTCAAGTTTGAAATCAACCCTACCACTTGAAAAAAAGTGCTCAGAGGCAGAGTTTTGTAATTTTATCACAGTTTTCTTTCACCACCTGTCTAATGGCTCGCAACAAATTTAAGTCAGCATTTAGCTTTGGAGATGAGAGAGTCTATTGTCATTACTGCAATTCTCGTCATCAAATCTATTCTTTTAAAAAAGTATGCGTAACTTCATTTCATCTGACATTTATGTATCATGTCTGTACACACCTCAGTCAGAAGTGCCGTTTTTCTTTTAAAAGTAAAGTAGAATACAGACACGTCCGCACAAAAACTTGGTCAAAATTTTTAAACAAGTATATTATTACTCTATATAAAGCTGCCGTAGTGGCTAACTCTGCCCCCCCCCCCCCCAGAGAAAAATTGGCGGAAGCAATTTCCTATAAACTTGGTAAACGCTTAGCAATTGTCGTAAGGAGTTGATCAAAATTAACTCGATCAGAAAACGTTGCCCAGGACGCCCGCAAGAGCGGAAAGTTTTTTCTCCCTACAGTAATGCATTGGGGATACAAGGTTTTTTATGGGCTCTGCTCTGAACAGGTTGAATTGTGTCGCGTGACGTCACAGCAACCCCACTCGTGTGCCTCGATCACGTTCGATCTTCCAACTGTGTGGCTCCCTCGCGAACTTTTCCATCTTTCTACTCCTTTCACGTACATGGTGTTGGCCTGCCTGCACCTAAGTATCTCCTCAGAACTGTCATCCATTTTTTACTGTAGGTTTGTGTTCCATCTTATACTCGTCGTATGTTTCTTTGACTTCCTCTCATTTTCTTTCGCCTACAATCTGATCGATTTTCGTGAAACTCAGGAGCGGGGGGTATTTTTCGACGGGAAACCCGAATTAATGGTCAGATTTCCTTAATTCCCAAATCCAAGATGGCGGCACTGGCCTGAAATGCAATCTCGGTTTCTCTTCAATCGATTTTCGTGAAACTCGGTTAGAGGGGGTATTTTTCAACGAGAAACTCGAATTTTTGGTCAGATTTTCAACATTTCAAAATCCAAGATGGCGGCCGCACTCTAATGCGGTCTCGTCTCCTAGACCATAGATTTCTGTGAAAAAGAAGATGAAGACGAAGATTTTGTCTTCTCATTATTGTTAAAAACCATGTGGGGCGGGAGTGGCTCGCGGAGCGAGTCGCAATTCAATCGCGAAGCGACGAACCGGGGGTCCAGGGGCACTCCCCGGCTAAGCGTGTCAGCTCGCTAGCGAGCCTTTCACGGCTAGTTACTCTGTAAAAAGCTGTGCGTTCCCACTCACGTCGCCGCTGTCCATCACGCGATGGTGGGTCTTGATAGAGAGCAGAGCCGCAAACAAACCTACTACCACATGCGCACGGCGCATCGCACAGGCATTCACGTTGTTGCGCACCCCGAAAATAGGCGACATAACTGGGGTCGATTTTACCCATTATTTCCGGGGGACATTGGCAAAAACGCTGAAAGACGTGTCCAATGGATTTTCATGAGCTACTCTGTGGCCAAACGGTGATCGATTTTGAGGAGGTACGAGTTTAAGATCCTCTCGTAAGTCATAATTTGTGTTCGAGAAGGAAAGAGGGAGTTAAATATCTTCTGAATGAGAAAATGAAGTTCGGTACAAATTGGTGCACTTTTATTTTGCGTATCTCAATTATTTCTGTTATCCTTCAATCACCCGTACACAAAATGCAAATTTATCTTATCATTTGTCAATGCTCATGCAAGTTGAAAGTTCTCTCTTCACTTACGATTTTTTGGTTTGCTAGTTTTTTACGCTCTGGTTTCTAGTATTTGCCTCTATAAATTTCAACAGTCCTAGAATTTAAAATTTCCATCATTATAATCATCATCATCATCATTACTATAAGTATTGTAGGATTCCATTCCATTTCATCTTTTTCTCAAGTCAGGTGAGATGGTAAAAGAAATACTGAAAAATTTAGTTAATTGAAATGGGTGTGAATACCTAAATATTAGTTTTCTACCAGTCCTCAGAGATTGACCATGAAACACGAGTCCAAGACAAGTGCGACTAACCCAAGATTCACTAAAATTTCCAGCTTTTCTCAGTTTTCAATGAATGCAAACGGCCGTTTAACCATGCACAAAGTTGATCATCGATCAACAATTATCAATAGAGTTGACACATCATCCCTTGATTTCCCGGAACAGATAGGCGTTTTTGTAATAGAACTAGAAAATCTTCTTACGTACGATTTGGCTCAAGAAAAATGTGCAGGGTTTTCTTGAGAAAGTTGCATTTTTCAGCATGATGGATGTAGTCAGATTAACCTTTATTATATTTACAACGTTTTCTGAGGGAAGGAGTTTTTCTAGGCGGAGATCAACAGTTCCATTGTGCACTGAACTGGATCAGGAATGTCCTGATAGAGTCAGAATAAACAGCCACATTGAGTCTTTAAAAGGAACATTATCATGATAGTTGGCGGTAACAGCATTACAGATCCTGCATCAAATGCGGTTCTTCGTAGACTAGAATGCTAAATTCTAAGGGGTTTGGCCCTTTTGGCGGAAGACTCTTACTGGTGAATACGCTGTTAATTCATTTCCTTTTTGATCAAAAACTTGGCGCAGACTGTTTGCTGTTTCAACGTGCTGCAACTGTGAGGATGTGTCAATGATGTGCTGCTGAACAATTTAGCAATACCTAAGCATAAATTTTTAAAAGATCAGTCATCAAAATTGAAATGAAGCCATTCCAAGTGATCGCAGTTTTCACAATTGAATTGGTTGCACTGAAGTATTTGTATCAAAATATCTTCTTGAATAATTCTTTAATGATCTAACTTAAAATTGAGCTATCATCTCTGTTTCAAAATAGGAGGTGGAATTCAGAAAATAACTTATTGACTTATCAATATATACCTAAATGGTCCAGGTAAGCATTTTGAAACATTATCATCTCCTCTCCTTGGAACAATTAGTTTTAGCGTGTTTAATGTCACAAAAGTCACGTTCTTATCAATTTTTTGGTGAAAATAGTAAGCCAATATTTTGTTAAATTTGTATAAAAATAATGATCGTAGGGAGAGTAATCTCTATAGATATAATGTTGTGACTTCTGTGGTGTGGCTGGCTCTATCTGTGTCCCGCCCCGCCAATCATTGAATGAAGTAATTGATATCATGCGAGGGCTTGTTGTGATTGCTGCCCGCCAGGCAACTTCGTAGTATCGCCCATTTCGTCGGTGTTTCTCTTGATATGAGTTCCAGAATTTAACACTTGTGTCGGAAAAACCAGGGGCAACTGATGGTGAGAACAAAAGGCCGTTATTTTGTGCATATTTGGCAAGATTTTGCCAGTTTTTCCATGATGATCCATAGGAGAGCCCATTACTGCCGTAGTATGTGTAAAAACCTGCATGAATGAGAAATCTTATTTAGTGAGAGGAATTACAATTATTTTGGAAATCTTCTCTCATTTATGTTATTATGATGATGTACCAATAAGGATAATATTTGAAGCAACTGCCTTTAAGGGGAAGTTGATTTTTCACGGAACTTCCTGGAAAAATGCACTTCCAATCAAGAAGAAATCATACGTGCATCAGTTTTAATTTATTGAATAATTTATTCATTATTCTGTTTCTGAACTCTCTTCTAGAAATAGCTTTCTGGAGTAAATGTCAATGAAATGATAAAAACACATAGCCCAAGTAGCATGGATTGCAATTTCATTGCAATGGATTGTGAGTTGATTGCAATTTTTGCTTGTTGCCTATACGTTCATTTGAAGGCGCTTAAAAAGTTGCAATTTTATTGCAATAAGTTTGCAAGAAATGTAGATTATGCTTGTTTTTCAAGGCACTATAAAGACTGCAATTTCGGTGCAATCATGTTGTAACAAATTCACGCCATGTGCCTGGCATCCAATTCTCTAGTTGTTTTAAAGTTTTTTCGACTTAAATGTCTCACCTACC